AATCCCAGCTATTCTAGAGGCTGAGGCAGGAGAACTGCTTGAACTCAGGAGGCGGAAATTGCAGTGAACCAACCTGCCACTGCACTTCAGCCTGGGTGACAGAGTGAGACTCTATCACAAAAAAAAAAAAAAAAAAAAAAATTAGCTGGGAGTGGTGGCTTTCACCTCTAGTCCCAGCTACTCCGGAAGCTGAGGTGGGAGGATCACTTGAGCCTGGGAGGGTGAGGCTGCAGTGAGCCGTGATCCCGCCACTGGACTCCAGCCTGGGTGACAGAGCAAGATTCTGTCTCAAAAAAACCAAAACAAAACAAAAACATGAAGACCCGGACTGGGTCTGTTTTGTCTACTTCATGTGTTTCCTGGCTCATATTTGTCAAATGAATGAATAAATGAATGAATGCTTCTTAAGATCCGGGTCCTGGGCCTCAAAGTGGAGGCAGATCTTCTTGTCTGTTTTTTTCTTTTCTTTTCTTTTTCTTCTTTTCTCTTTTAACTATATATTTTTTTAATCAGGCAACTTCCCGAGCCAGAGTATACTCAGAGAGATCTCCTGTCTTTGTCTGTTTACTGAAGTGTTTCCAGCTTGCAGAGTATTACTTTCAATTCTGCAAAGAGGAGGTGGGGAGGGCAGCATGCACTAAGAGGTTCCTCCCCCCATCCCCCTGCCCCCAGGAAACAGATGGTAAAATGCTTAAGACACTGCTGCTTCCCTCAGCACTCTCGGTGGCCCAGCCCCCAGCCCCAGACTTGGCTCCTTCTCTGCTAAGGCTGAAATGCAATCAGCCCAGATGGGCTCTGGCAGTCAACTCTATCCTTCTAACTCTGGGCACTAAGTTGGGTGGGATGAAAGTCTGTATTTAGTGAGCTACTTTCCTTCTTCCCGCAAACTTCCCAGCCTTCCTCAATCCTCTTAAACTTGTGTTCCCATTCCTTTTTCAATATTCCAAGTGCCATTTCTCAGGCTGTAGCTTAACTCATTCTACATCAGTCTGATAGCAACACATTCCTCCTGTGTGCCGGGCTCCGCACCAGGCAGGGAGTGCGGGTGTCATATGCTGGTTAACAAGATATGAACCCCACCCTCGGACTCACAGTTGATGGGAGGAAACAGACTTGCCGGTCTATAATCCCAGTGTAGGGAAAAGCCCCATGTAGCTGGAGAACCAAGCGAGGGCTGGGGAAGCAGGTGGCTTTTATGGCAGGGGAGCTAAAAGGTCTCAGGCATTCTCTTTTCTGAGAAGGTGAAAGGCACTCAAGGAGGAAATGCAGAAGCAAAGGTACAGTCAGAAAGAGCTGGGCATGTATAGGCAGGAACCAGTAGATGCAGAGCCTGGGAGATAAACCTGCCAAGGCAGGTGCGGTCTGTTCGTGGAGGCTCTTGAATGTCAGATCAGTCAAGTGGAGACTGATCTGAATCCAGTGAGCAATAGGGAGCCATTGAAGGTTTATGAGCTGGGGCAGTTATAGACTCTGAGCTGTGCTTTAGGAAGATTAATAGGGCCATAGAGAGGATGCCCTGGGAAAGGAGAGCTAGAGGCAGGGAGACCAGTTAGAGTTGTTACCTTAATGGAGGGTCGTTACCTTAGTGGAGGCTGTAGGAGGGCAGTGCAGTGGGGTGGAAGGAGCTGGCTCCCTGGTGTGTTGGCTGGATCTCCTGCTAACCACCTCCGCAGCCTGAGGGCGCATTGCCTTTTAGACTTCTCCTTTTGTTATCTGTTTGTTTGTTTGTTTGTTTGTTTGTTTATTATTTTCCCCCCCAGCTTAAGCAAAGGAAGAAATTCACAAGCAACAACAGAAAGCTCCCCCTTCCATACCCTCCTCAGATCTGGCCTCCTGGTTCTCTATTGGCTCATGTACTCCTCTGCCAGGTATCTGGGGCCTCTCTGCAGGGTCTCCAGCTGGAGGATCTCTCTTCATGTTCCATCCTTGTCTTCAGGTGCCCACCTCCGGGGATCAGGAAGCTGTGCCTGGGCAGTGGGTTTGTCAGTGAATTGCAGGAGCACTGATTTATCCTAGAAGTTGCCAAGCACCAAGGGGAAACCCTGCCTTTCCCCAGGAGAACACACTTTGAGTGGGCCCCCAAGACCCACGCTAGTGAACCGACTGAAGATCTGTGGAGGGTTGGAATATTCTCCCAGCTCAGAGAGGATCGGTGAGCTCTGTCTGTACTACACAGCTGGTGGGTACAGAAAGTGGGTCGCCTGGGGTTTTGCTTCAGTCTAGTGCCCTAGACATGGCACTCAGAGAAGGGAGAGCTGGGATCCGGTTCCGGGCGCAGTGCGAGTCTCCGCTGATTTTCGGTAGTGCATCCCACCCGGATAACTGTGGAGTTTTCGCAGGGCGAGGGGGAGAACTGGAGCTTGAAACTCCCATATTCCTTGCACCTCTCGGGCCCTGGACAGGCAGCTCTTAGTCACTGGGGTGTCCATAGCGCCCGGGAAGGGCCAGCGTCCCAGAGGGTTCCCAGGTCAGGTTGGTGACGCGTGGGGCTTCCCTAACTTCATAGGCAAAGCCTGCCAGACCCTCCCCCGGGGAGCGGAGCTCCGAGCACCAGGGCCGACTCCGCTCCTGAGGCCGCTGAGCCCTCCTGCACCTGTCCGGCCCGGGAAGTGCCATAGGACAGCTGATCGCCAAGTTAATGAGCATCTTCGGGAACCAGGGTAAGGGGCGCACAGGGCATCCAAGCGAGGGCTTTGATCTCGCTCTCTTCTGGGACTCCTCTGATCTGGGGTCAGACGCACTGGGGACCTCGGGCTCCGAGGGTCGTATATGGGCGATCCTCGACTGCCGCGCGGCCTCCCCTGCCCCCGTCGCTGCCTGCTCCTCTTGGATCCTCGCGCTTTGGTGCGCCCCGGGACGCAGGGCTGGGCAAGCCTCCTTTCTCCCCGCTAAACGGCGCCAGCGGCGGGGATGGGGGGCTGCTGCGGGTTTCCTGAGACTGTGACTTCGCGTTCGGCTCTTTCTCCAGACACCGTCTCGCGGCAAGCCCAGAGGCGCCCCAGGCCTTTCAGACTCTTCTAGAATGTGAAGGGAGGTGGGGGCTCAGCTGTCTTTTCCACCGTCCCGGAGTGGGGCAGGTGTCAGGGCTGGGTAGGAAGCAGACACGCTAAGGTGGGCAGAGGTCCCCAGCATGCGGGGAGCGCTATCTCCTTCCTGGGAGGTCTGGTGGGGGCACACAGTCCCTTGGCCATCGGGTTTGGCCCTGACGCTGCCCTTCCTCGGATGCTTCCAGAGCAGAAGGTTATCATCATGGGACTGGACAATGCGGGAGAGCACCATTCTCTACCAGTTTTAAGTGACTTTCGGGCGGTGAGGGTAGAGGGCTGGGCCTCCCACCAGACTGACAGGCATGGGGACCAATCACTAGAGCTCTTCCCTGGGTTACAGGGCTCCTCTGTACCCGGAGGAGTGATTGAGAACGCTGCTTGGACCTTCCTAGTACTGCGGCTCCTCGGCCTGGCATTCAAATCCTGCACCGTACGGGCAACCCTAGCTCCCACTGCTTTCCTCCATCTTCCCGGGGCCCCTGCCAAACCCAGCTCCAGGCCTGCCAAGTGTCCCAACCTGCCTTCCTGGTCCTCGCTCCCTCTAGCGGCAGGTCGCCCCTTTCTCACCCCTGTCCCCTCTGTCAGTTAACTTTCTTTCCCTTCTTCAAACCCAAAGGCTCACTGAGTCTCTGTAGCTCCTGGTCTAGAAGCCTGGCACGTATGGGTGGGGCTGAGTAAATACCGATCGCAGCTTTCCCCGATATTCGCTCTCTGGATGGCACCTCTCCCATTTTAAGCCTCCAAAGTACTTTACCTAGGATAAGCTTTTCCATGAAAAAGTAATACATGTAAATGATTTTTAAAAAGCATGAAGGAAAATTTCAAACAATGGAGGAATACACAGTGAAAAGTAAGTTTCCTTCTCGCCTCTAGCTCCTAGTTTTCCTCCTATTGTAACTTTGCGGTAACTTTTCAGAAACATTATTTACATATAAAAGCATGTGTATGTTTTCTATGTCACTTTAAACAAAGCACCTCTCTGATGTCCCTCAATGTGTCTATTTTTCTAAACTTTTGCTTCTCAAAGTGTGGTCTACAGACCAGTCACATAGGCATCACCTGAAAGCTTATCAGAAATGCAAAACCGTGGCTGGGCGGGGTCGCTCACACCTGTAATCACAGCACTTTGGGAGGCCGAGGCGGGCGGATCACCTGAGATCAGGAGTTCAAGAGCAGCCTGGTCAACATGGTGAAACCTCGTCTCTACTAAAAATGAAAATTAAAAAATAAATAAAATTTAAAAAAAGGGCTGGGCACGGTGACTCACGCCTGTAATCCTAACATTTTGAGAGACCGAGGTGGGTGGATCACCCGAGGACAGGAGTTCGAGACCAGCCTGGCAACATGGTGAAACCCTGTCTCTACTAAAAAAAAAAATTAGTCGGACGTGGTGGCACATGCCTATAATCACAGCTACTCTGGAGGCTGAGGAAGGAGAATCACTTGAACCCGGGAGGTGGAGGTTGCAGTGAGCCGAGATCACACCACTGCACTCCAGCCTGTGCAATGGGAGCGATACTCCATCTCAAAAAAAAAAAAAAAA